TTATTTGCAGCTGAATGTCAGGGAATATGTGACTGAAGTATACATTTTGACTTGTCAGACACGGAGAAGACTTCTCAACAAGCTTTTGTATATCTCAAACAGAAATGTCCAGGAAACACAGTATTTGAAAAATCTGGAAAGTATATTGATATAGAAATACTGCCTTTCTTCAGAAAGAGATTAGCTTGTGCAAATTTGTTTAGAATATATGTTAACAAAATGGAGAACAGAAAATGAAACCTTCTATCTGTGAAAACATTTTAATGAGAACAACCAACAGTAATTGGTGGACTTGTCTTCTGAACATGCTTCAGATAGGACTGTGCCATCTGGAGTTACCAGCAATTTGATGAAATGCCAAATTTCTAATTTTGAATTCACTGATATTGCTGTAATCTATTTTATATATTCTTTATTTTGGATTCATGACTAACATCACAATGTGCTTTTTGCAGAACAAATATTGCCTAGCAAAAACACCTATTTCTATTTTTGGTATTATCTTATAATTAAGAAGCATCTAGGAATATCTGAGTAATCACTGCATTATCTAAACAAACTCTTTTGCAATATGATGTTTTATCAATATTATTACTGATCTTGGTCAGCCTTACATACAACACCAGCCCCCCCAAATATGTTTTAGTAAATATATAATACAAATATACAAATAAATACAAATAACAGAGTAATTTTGCTAAATTGTGTAACAACAGGTGACAAAGGGATTGAATGAAAATTACATGCATGTGGCAATAAAGTAGTAAAGCAAAGAAAAAGTATGCTTTTTATTTCTTTTAGAAATTGTCCTTCAAGCATCCTTATATTTGATTTCCTTGTTTGTGTAGAAGTTGCTAAAAGTAAGTGCAATAGAAATAGATTTTAATAAAACAACAAAAAAAAGAAATAAGCATTCAAATAATGTAGTTGCAAAAATTCTGCTTTATCTTCTTACTTCAAATTTACTCAGTCTTCCAGCTAGCTTTGATTTTTTAAATTTCTCACTACCATGGCTATGTGAACCACTATATCATTACCGTCCCAAAGACTTGGTCATTACCTCCCAAAAGACTCTAATATTGCTCCCCTCTGCTCTTGTATATTATCTTTTCCCAAATAGTTTATTAGGTAGCTTAAAGTTGGTTTGTCCACGAATTGGGGTTTCATGTGTCATTGTGACATGCAACATAATGCCATAGTCTAACACTCCTAAATTACTTTCTCTTTCACAATCACTGCTTCTCTTTCAGCCTTCCCCAGCAGAGAGATTTCCCCTTGCTACCATGGGCATTGCCTTATGCTGCTGCTTCATGTTCTAGCATCACAAGTGCACTGTTTGTGGAAACAATTGCCCTTTCACTCTTTCATTTATATCAGTCTTCTTAGGTTGAAGATACAAGGAAGCAAGTCAGAGGAAATGGCTTCATTATAAACTTGCCATCTGAAGGTTCTCTTCCTTTTCATCTGCAGCTGAAACTCCTTCCTCTACTCTAACACTGAACAAACAGGATGGTTACCTAAGAAGGCTGAAAAGCAGGAACACACAGCTCCCTTAACTTTATGTGTGTCCATGTATTTAGTGTACATATGATTTCAGCTTTGCCGGAATAAGGAGCTAGATCATTCACAATGAACAGGCAGACCCAAATGAATAGAAAGCAAATGAGCATCTCTGGATTGTATTTCCTTTGAATAAATTGAGTTATATGAGTAGGCTAACTCAGTCTTCTACCAGAGAGAGCCATGATTGTTGAAAGTTCTTGAGTCTCACTTTCTGACCACAAGATGGAGGACCACTAATCCAATTAAGCTCTAATTATTTATCAAGGAGTTCATCACAGTGTGTTAAATCAGATATCCTGTCTCTCTGATGTGTTGCTAATATTTTTTTCCTCTACTCCAATTTTTTTTTGTTTCTTACAGCAATCTGCTTTTGGTGCACCTTCTTCCTCACTTCTTTCTCTTCTTGTCCCCAAAGGAAACAGCACAAAGCAAACTGGTCTGGTTTCTAATATCTAGGAAAGTATGACCTTGGATAGAGGCAGTACACATTGATTTGCAATGAACACATTGCTTTTGAGTGGGAGGGACTGACTGTCTCAAAGTTATGTTTCTCATGGAAGTAGGCCAGCTTGTACAGAGGGTTTTACCCATAAAATAAGGTAATGATAGTACTGACATCCATGTGAAAGACAAAGTCCTAAAACTTCTGTGTTCACAATAACAACTTGACAGAAGATAGCATCTGAAGAAAAAATGGTGGCCTAAACTTCCAGCTGTACACTTATTGCATACAGATGGTAAATGAGGACAAATCTGATCAATTTTAACTTTTACAGCATATGACCTTTTTTCTTAGCTTAATCAATAAAGAACCCGATACTTCTCCAGTTTTCTCTGAATCCATCTTGAACAGCAAAACCAATTTGTTTATGGCATATCTCCAAAATTCAAAAAGCAAACCTCAGATATCGACAGACAAATGGAATTTTGAGATAATTTAATTAATCCAAATGATAAAAGAAATAAGATTATTAAGGGATATACAATAATTCCCACAATAAACTGAAATCCAACCTGAATGTACTGGATGATATGTCTTGTAGCACATTTTTTTTTTATTGTGAGAATCCACTAAATATCATAATTAAAATACAACATGGAATGCAGATGCTACATTCCTTTTTTCAATAAAATTGTTTTGTGCTTTGAGTGCCATAGTGTAATTGAAATTAACCTTTTGTCTAGGAAAAGTGAACAATTTCTTAAAAGAATTAATTTATTTTTGTTGGTGGCTAAGATTCCTGTATGTGTCTCAGGAATTTCTGCACAGAATTAAGAGTAAATACACCATGCAGGCACATGTATTATGTCCGTCTCTTAGGCAGTGTCAAGCCAATTGTGCACAATAAACTGACTGATAAGTCTCTGAGTGCGTACAATAAATCAGAGCATCCCTTCTGTATATGACGTAGCGCACCCAAGCAGATCAGGCAGGGTTCTGTGCAGTAGCCATTGTTTCAGAAGTCCTGGGTGTTAGGATGTCTCAGGGGAACCAGGCATCAGGAACTACTGCTCTGACGAAAGACAAAAACATCTCTGCTTGTTTAGGTCAAAGACACATCTAGCTGAATATTCTGTCTGCAGCAATAGATGATGGTGCTTATCTGAAGGAAAAACGTAATTAACAAAATTAGCGTAGGTGTCTCTAGCCTGCAGCAATCTGGGTGTAAGAAATTTTCTGAGGCAGTGACGTTATCTTTACAATTAATAGAAATGTATGGTATCTAAAACATTATGTGGACAGGAATGTCAGCTCAATCTTATATATTGTGTGAAGGACCATCTTTCTTTTTTTTTTCATTTTGAGCTGCCTCATGAAGGTTTTAATGTTTTAATGTAATTGTTTTAAGCCTCTTGCTATTGCCAAGAGTTGTTTCCTGTTCATATCCCTCATAAATCTCTCTGACAGTACATTTGGATTGTCTTTTTGCAGACTGAAGGAGGTTGTTTTTTTAGTACAGAATCTTCCCTACACTTGTTCCAGTTCTACTACATCCGTTCTGACATGAGGGATTACAGATGGTATTCAAAATGCAGAAGCACAATCGATTTATTCTGCAGTATAATATTTTTTCTGGTTTTTTTCTTTGTTTATTTTTCTCCTTCTGTCTTTGTCTTTCTCTTTTCCTTTTTTTTGTCCTTTTTTTTGCCTTTTCTCTTTTTTCCTTTTTATTTTTTTTTATTCTTATTCAGCTAACACTTTCATAGACTTGTTATTATAATCCTAAGGTGTCTTTCAAGACTTGTAGTAAACATGCAAGAATATATTTTAAATTAGGACTGTTCTGTCTCATATGTAGGATTTTATAAATTTTGATTCTGAAATTTTCCTGCCTTTTTATCACCCAACCACTCAGTCTTTCAATGTTCTTCTGCAATTCTTCACAGTCATCCTTACCTTTACTAACCTTATTAGTGTAAAGGGTAGCCAATTTTGTCACTTTGTTGCTCTCCAGATCTCTTTTGACAATAGATGAAGTTTTCTTGTATTATCCATGTCCATATATGTCCATTCTCATTCAAGCTGACAAGTCACAGGCAGGCTAAGCAGTTCAGCTCTTCTACATATTCAAAACTCACTTCCAAAAATTAATCAGCAATAGACCAGAGATCTGAATTAAGAAGTTCTCACAGAGTTTCAGGACACATGATCCAAATAATAATAATAATAATAAAAAATAATAATAACAACAATAATAATAATAGAAGTAGGAATAATAGGAATAATAGGAATAACTACTAGTACTTTTTACTGGCTTAAATAAGTGGAGACTTGATATTGGCACTGTTGATCCCATTTGCACAGTACTTCTCCCTTTGTCTTACTAAGGAAATTTCTGTAACAAATGGCCACTCAGTGCTACAGGGAGAAAGGTTTTGACCATTTCATAAGGTTTTGATCATTTCTTTCTGAAGCACTGTAGTAGCATTGATTTTCATCTTATTGTACAGTTCATCAAACAAAAAGAAATATTTTTCATTTTGTGATGTGGAGAGTGGATGTTTTTCTAGTCCTTCTGGACCAAACATGATTCACATGATTATCTGAGATTGCAGGAGACTGGATATGATGAGTCATGTCTCTTCCATGACTCTTGTCCTTGGTTCTCAAAGAGCCTATCAACAACAATAAATTACTACCAAAAAAAAAAAAAAAGGAATTAAGTCAAACAAACAAGACAGAAAAGGAAAGAAACATGGTATGATAAGAGAACTCCTGGGACAGGCGGAGGGACTGCATGAAACACTTATTTCATGGATGGGAAACTGGAAGTTAGGAGGAAAGCAGAGGCAAAGAATTTTAGAAAGTCCTGTGTAATATGTATTCATTTTAGTTTCTATTTCCACTTTCTTTAGATCATTTTGGCACATTGAGTACAACTCGTGTATGTGATGTAAAATGTTGTTCTTTTTCTCTTTCTGATGACTAATTTCAGAATAATCATTGAGTAAGTGATCTATCTCAACTGTGTCTGTATCTTACTGGTGACATTATGAGAAGAAGATTCCATTTACAAGATTTTCAGTTTTTTCTGAAGACACTGAGCTCATAGTCACTGAAATTTCTCTCAAGAATAAGAGAATATTTCATCAGGTGGGTTTTCAAAATTACTTTTTTCCACAGACATAGTTTTACTTGTGAGGTTTGCAACTGACTTTTAGGTTTCGAGAGACATGGCATGATGCAGGTCTTACCTGTCAGTGAGGAATTTATGACAAGAGTTGAGCACTAAGGCAATGTGCTTTCAGTAGTCATTTTTGCTAGGCAGACAAGCCTAGCAAAAAATAAAATATTTTTATTTTTTTGTAAAGTTTAAGTGTTGAGGATTTTTTTGCTAGTGTGGGGGTTTCTTAGATACAGGGAACTATAATTGAGTCAAAGGTCAAGTGTACATTGATTCCCTGTGGTTAAATCTGAATGCAATGCAAAGATTAACACATTCCAACCAAACAGATGAAAAAACCCAGTGTATTTTGTGGAACGAACTCCCTGAGCACCAAAAGAACTGTGAAGGCCAAATGAGTATTAAAATTCTTGAGGACATAATGATTTCCCAGAAGCTATTCAACAATGAGTCTAAATATGCAACTTTCTCACCTGCTGGTCTCCTGTATCTTCTTGATATCTTATGCTAGACTGCTTTCTTCAAACTCCAAAGAAGTGTCTGTTTTCCACACAAACCAGTTTTTGTTTCAAAGGGACTTCTTAAGAATTTTTTATAGTGCTTCTGTTATTCTGTTTCTTAACACTGATCTTTTGCAAAAAAAACCCAACACAAACCAACTAGTTCTTCCTCATGACTGGGAGGAGGTAAAACTTTCAGTTTTACTTATGTCTGCAAGGACAGTAATGCTGGCACAAAGAACAGGACAGAAAATAAGAACTGGGGAAAGGGTAAAATTGCTTGTTTTTCTGGCAGTGCCAGTTTATGCTGCACTAAGGTTATGAAAGTACAATGTAAGAAATGCAGTCTGAGATGTCAAGTGTGCAGAAATCTACAGCAAAACACCTGAATAAAGGGAGAAAGATATTTTAGATTCAATTATGACATAAGTGGATTTAAAATTACAATCTTTAATAATTTCATGGATTTTGTGCCTATTGCCTGTCATATATTGACATTTTAATGAGTGCCTGTCTACCCAAAACATTATTGCAAGCATGGGAAGAATGCTAGGCTCTGCAGCCAAAACGAGATGGATTGGTTGAGAGCATGTGTCGGGATGGAAATAAAGGTCTTCCAGACTTCAGACAGTTGGTAAAGTCCTCCGATAGCCACAAAAACTTCACTCAAGGTTGGGGGAGACATGCCTGAACCATGATAATCAGATAAACAATCAGTTTGCTGAAACTTGTTCTATTTCTTATAAACAGGTCATTAGAGGGAAGCCACAATCAGTTTTCCAGAGCATATCACTCTCTCCAAATGTGACTCCCTACAAACTCCAACACACTGACTTCAGCTGTGCAAACAGTTGAAATTTCTGAGGTGTTTGTACATACCAGAATAAATCACATTTTTAGGTGCAGCTTGGATCCAGTTGGTTTTGTAACTAACCAAATTAGGGTTATATTAGCATTACTCAAAATATTGGACTGAAATCAACTAGAAAAAGAATGTAATAGACTCCAATAAATGAATTAGTAAATGAACCACAGAAACCCTTAGAATAATTGGAGGTGAATCTGTTCATAGATCTGTGAAGGGATTTGGATTGCTATTAATGAAATTGTCTGTGGGCAGCTCAACCATCAAAATTACTGGCTATTTTTTGATAAATAAAGTAAAATAAGAATATGGTACTAAAGGATAAAAGTTATATATTTTTTCCATATTTAGAAATGTATTTTGGGGAAAAAGTTTTTTTTCCTATAAGTCATATTTTTTCTTCTCATCTAGTTATAAACTGCCCAACTCTTTCTACAAAGAAAGAACTATGAAATTTGTGTAATTTAACTCTGTAAAATAATTTGAAGCTTTGAAATGAGTAAAACATTCTGTACTGTAGCTATTTTAATCTTGTTTCAGTACCAGACATCTCAGCTGTGCAAGCTACAATACTGATTCATCTGGGTGGAACGAAATATGACTAGCAATGGTGATATAGAAAATTCTGTTCATCTGGTTTCCTCTGCCTGCCACTGCTCCTGACCACGAATACCGTAGCTTCCAATAGTTCAGCCGATGAGTGAAAAAAAATGCTCTGAGATAGGAGCAGTAGTTTCAAAACTACTGTTGCAAATTTAAGCTCATAGTGTTCCTATTGCAGTACAACTCCCCTTCCTCCTCTCGGCCACTCTAAGATCTCATAGAACCACAGAACGACCTGAGTTAGAAGGGACACACATGGATCATTGAGTCCAGCTCCTGGCCCTGCATAGGACAGCCCGAAGAATCACACCATGTGCCTGAGGCCATTGTCCAGATGCTTCTTGAACTCTGACAGGCTTGATGCTGCGACCACTTCCCTGGGGAGCCTGTTCCAGTGGCCAAGCACTCTCTAGAACCATTTCCTAATATCCAGCCTAAACCTCTCCTGACACAGCTTCATGCCATTCCCTTGAGTCCTGTCACTAGTCATTAGAGACAAGGGATCAGTGCTTGCCCCTCTGCTTCCCCTCACAAGGAAGCTACAGACTGTGATGAGGTCTCCCATCAGACTACTCTTCTCCAGGCTGAATCTCAGCTGCTTCTTATAAGGTTTCCCCTCAAGGCCCTTCAGCATCTTTGTAGCCCTCCTTTGGAGGGCTAGTAGCTTCATATCTTTCTTGTATTGCAGTGCCCAAAACTGCACACAATATTCAAGGTGAGGCTGCACCAGTGCAGAGCAGAGCAGGACAATCACCAGCCTTGACTGGCTAGTGATGCTTTGCCTGATGTCCCCCAGGACATGGTTGGCCCTCCTGGCTGCCAGGGCTCTTTCCACTGGCCTGGACCCCCAAATTCCTTTTCATGGCGCTGCTCTCCAGCTTCTTGTTCCCCAGTCTGTACGTACATACAGGGTTGCCCCATCCCAGGTGCAGAATCCAGCACTTGTCTTTCTTAAACTTCATATGGCTGGTGATTGCCCAGCCCTCTAATTTGTCTGGGTATCTCTGCAGGACCTCTCTGACTTTGAGGGAGTCAGTGGTTCCTCCCAGTTTAGTATCGCAGGCAAACTTAGCATACCTTCGAGTCCTGGGTCTGAAATGTTTATGAAGACATTGAAGAGCACTGACCCTAAGATGGAACTCTGCAGAATCCCACTAGTGACCAGTAGACAGCCTGATGTTACCCCATTTATTACAACCTTTTGCACCCAACCCATGAGCCAAATTGCTCACCCACAACACGATATGTTTATCCAGCTGTGTGCTGGACAGTTTGTCCAGAAGGATTCTGTGAGAGACAGTATTGAAAGCTTTACTGATATCAAAAAAGATTACATCAACTTTCTTTCCTTGGTCAGTTGGGGGGGTTACCTTCTCATAAATGGAAAACAAGTTTGTCAAGCAGGACTTTCTCCTCCTGAAGCTGTACTGGTTGTGATCCATGCATGACTGCATTGTCCTTCAGGTGTTTTTCAATACCCCCCAGAATAATCTTCTCCATAGTTTTACCAGTCACTGAAGTGAGACTGACAAGTCTGTAGTTTCCAGGGTCCTCCTTCTTGCCCTTCTTGAAAATCAGGACAACGTTTGCGAGCTTCAGGCAAAGGAATTCTTGTTAGGCCTCGGCCTTTGTGTAATGAGTTGACTGGTGAAGCACCCCTTGACCATAGCAGGAACTCTTGCATGGCTGAGGGTGACACTGTCCGTACCAGGAACTCTTGTTGCCTGACAAAGGACAGGAACGGGAGATATTCAGTCATTGCCTGAGAACCTCAGGCAATACTGAATACTCCTTAAATGAATTGTAGTCTCAGTGGAATGGTACAACCGTTACTGGACTTTTGAAAAATTCCAGTAATTACTGACTTGGATTGCAACCAGGATAGAAACAAACTGACGACCAAAGCTAATCATCTTGCAACCCTATAAATATTTGTCCTAAGGGAGGCCCTTTGAGCTCTCCTAGACTGCAGCCAGCATCTCCCTCTCAGAGCTCATGAACTCTCAAGTTTGCGATCATCGGAGAATCATCCCCGGAAGCTGATGACAATGCCTGGGCCGATATTCTTGAGGCTTGACCCTTGACTGTTGAGAAATGCTAGGACATTTAAAGTGTCTATTTGTCCTGGTTTTGGCTGGAACAGAGTTTATTTTCCTAGTAGCTAGCACAGTGCTGTGTTTTGGATTGACTATGACAATAATGTTGATAACACACTGATGTTTTGGTCGTTGCTCAGTAGCCCTTACCCTAAATCAAGGACTTTTCAGTGTCTCATGCTCTGCCAGTGAGGAGGTACACAAGAAGCCGTGAGGGAGCATAGCTGGGACAGATGACCTGACCTGGCCAAAGGGGTATTCTGTAGCATATAGTGCCAAGCCCAGTTTACGAACTGGTGGAGTTTAGCTGGAAGGGGCTGATCACTGTTTTGGGACAGGATGGGCATCAGTCAGCAGGGGGGAAGAAATTGTACTGCGCATCACTTTGGTTTTTTTATCTTATCTCAACCTACGATTTTTTCCTTTTCTTTACAGATTCTCCTCCCCATTACATGAGGGCCAGGGTGGAAAGGGAGTGAGTGAGCAGATGCATGGTACTTTGTTGCTAGGTGAGGTTAAACCACAACAGTATTTCATGGGACTCAAGAAGATTTAACAGTTATACCTTTGCATATTTAGATATGTTTTTCTATCTATCTATCTATCTATCCATCTATCTATCTATCTATCTATCTATCTATCTATCTATCTATCTATCTATCTATCTATCTTTGTGTCCATGTGCGTGTATGTATGAATTGATTTAAATACCCCATAGCAAGCATACTATGAATGTTGCCATTTCAGATCCATAATTAAGTCACTGTTGTGACTGTAGTTAATCCCATTGAATCCCTTTGTAAATGTTAAATTATTCAATGATTAAGTGCTGCTAAATCCTTTAAATATAATCCATTGTCCAAGTCTGAGACTCAAATTGGACCTACTTGCAGTTAAGCTCTACCAGGTGTTTAGAAAGCACAATATAAATGAAAATACTGTGACATATAAATGTCACAATAGTATTTGTTTTCATAATTCAAATATATTAAGAAACAAGACTTCCTTTTTTATTCATGCCTTTTCCTCTAAAAACATAATTTAAGCAGCACACTGAAATCCCCAAGCGATTTTCCACATTCAAGTTCAGGAGAGATATCATGACGAAACTGTTTCTCAACAGATTCCTTTATTGCATCCAAAGAAGTTCAATAAAGCATTGCAATAATAGTTTGAGTGCTACCATTTCAGCTTTAAAGGTACTATGGGAACAATTATACACACCTGTCTTAGCAGCAGGAATAGAAAAAATAAATGTAGAAAATAACAACTCCAGAGAGCTTCATCAAAGAATTGGAGGCAGAAAACAGGCTTACAATCACTTTTATCCTAGCCTTGACAGATGACCTGGATTCCAGTCCCAGCAGTGACATTTCTTACCAGCTCAGACTGTGAAAACACGCACTGAAACTACTGTGATTCAAGTGTTGATCTATGAAATGATTCTTTTCCTTTTCTAGAACATCTTCGTGCCTGTGTTGTTACGTTGCAGATTACTTACAAATGCCCTGGCTGAATAGATGACAACGTTTACTATGCATCAAGCCTTTCAATATCCTCATTCTAAGAGAAATGTTATCTTATATGTTAAAGGCTAAGCTACAGTATTCAGATGAAACAAAATATCTTTTTGTTTGAAAGATGCTGCCAGTTCTGCACAAACACAGAGGAAACTGTCAAAACACAATCTAGGTGCTGCAGTACAGCTACAAAACACAAAAATCCTTTAAAAAGCATGGAAGACATGATTCAAGAGACAGCTGAAGAATTTTACTTACATAAGTGCAAGGTAGGGAGTTGAATACGCTTTTACATTTATAAGAGACTTATATTTAGCAAGTAGAATTAATTTTCATTCAACTAATCCATCCTACGTTATGGCATCAATTATTCTACCATTTGTTAGGAAAGGATTTGGCAGACATAAGGACTTTGTCTGCTTTGGGGAAATTATTCTCTCCCCATCACAGTGATTAACTTTCTCACAGAAACTCACAGACCTTATATTGTGGTACATTTCAGGTATATCTCAAGTCCCAACTCTGACCAAAAAAACCCCTAATAAAACCCTAATAAAATACTTACTAAAAATAAACTCTCCTTGCTTAGTTTTAAAATGAAACCTGGGTTTTCACAATCTGTTTTTGCACGACTGGGTTTTAGCAGGATTCTCCCTCTACTCATTCTTTAGTTGAATATATTTATAATTTCTGTCACTTCACTAGAGATTAAAATACATTTGCCAATGAGATTCAATATTAACCACTTTTATGATCATACAATCTTTAATCTCTGTGCAATTGACATCTAGTTGTTGCCGACACTTAATTGCATGAATTGCTAAATATCCCTTTTGTTAAAGAGCTTGCAGTACAGGGTAGTAATATTCAGACCACGCTTCCCATGTACCCTCACTTCAGGATCCCAATGCCATCACTGGAGAGAAGATGATTCCTAACCAAGGTGTTCCATGTAACTGTGCAGTAAGTGTTTACTGCTGCTGTTTACACATACAGCCTATACAGGCTCCTCACTTATGACAATACAAAAGCAACCAAATGCCCATAATGTGCCCATTCTGCTTGACCTATACATAATTGTAGATAACTGTAAAAATATACTGATGAATTCTATTATATACATATTTGGATATGTATAATTTTCCTACTAAATAAATTCTGCTGGTTGCATCTGCTGTGTCACGTTGGAAATGAAGAATGGAATAACCAGAGAACGACACCTTTGGCCTTCAGATGCTCCCTTCAGCCTGTGTGAGGTACTAGTGAAGCACTTGTGATTGTTTGTTCAACATAGTCTGGACATTCCGGACAAGAATGAAATGTTTTGAGTGACCTTTGAGCTGTGGGGCACATGGTTCTCTCAGAGCTGAAGGGGAAGTTTATTATATGGAAAACATATCATTCTCTCCTCTGATCTCATCAGATATTCAAGTTCTTTGGCACTTTCAGCATTATACCATGTAACTTTTTCATGTATTTATTTATGGGGTTCCCCGTCAGGCCTATACTGCATGCTGCTGCTCACTGTTGTTGCCTGGTAGTGAAGACAGCCTAGCTCTTCATTTGGAAGCCTGTCTAAAGGACAGTCTGGCGAAGCTCTGTGGTGGTCAGGGACACAGTGTTGGCACAGGAGCACAGTTGTCAGGTTGCACTTTGGAGTCTGGGTTAAAGAAGCTAGTTTGTAGGCTCACCATCACAGTCACCTCCTGATGGTGCTTGTCTTTTGTATATCTTTTGGGATTTCCCATGGATAAGTCATGTTCAAGAGAAGACATGGTGTTTTTTCTCCTGTGTTACTCTCATGAAGAACTTTTAAGACTGCCAACACGCAGAGGTTGGGGAATGACAGGGGGAATTCCTCCCTTCCCTCCTACAGGACAAGACACTATGTATGCTGGATCCCGTATTTATGGTGAACATAGAACATAAACGGACATTTATGTCTAGGTGAATGATGTGGTTAGATTTTGGAGATCTTGGCATTATTATAGGTTCACCACATATTATACAGTAACTATTATTATGTCGTCGCTATCAGGGTACTACAAATTACTATTACTATAGTAATTTGGTATTATACAGCTTTTAATTTTTATTCTTTTAGCTTTAATTACATGAATCTTCAGCACACTTGTAAAATACCAAAACTAATCCAACCCAGGAGGTCCTCAACGAAGAGCAGCTATGACCTCTAGCTTTGTCTTTCAAGCAAGCCTCGTAACCACAAAACTTCGGCGTTCAGCTTAAATCAACCACAGAGCTCACCGACCATTAACACACGACTTCAACAACAACGACCACACCCCCCACTCGCCGCCCCTCCCCTCAGCCCTTGACGCACGCGCGGGCGGAAGTGGCGCGCGGCGGGGGCGGGGCCGCGGTCCGCGTGGGGCGGCCGGTGCGCGTGGCGCGGGCGCCGCGATGGAGGCGCAGCTGGAGGTCGTGGAGAAGCTGGAGAGCCTGGCGTTCGAGCCCGGCACCGCCGGCACGGCGCCGGGCGGGGAGCGGCCGGCGGGCACGGAGGACGCACCGGCCCCTCCGGAGGGCGGTGGGGAAGCCCAGGCCCCGCTGTCCCCGGCCACAGGAGCGCCCCGCTCGCCGTCACCTGCGGGAGCGCCCCGCTCGCCGTCACCTGCGGGAGCGCCCCGCTGGCCGTCGCCCACTCGGCTCAGCACACCCGCTGCCGCTGGGCCCTCCTCGGACTCGGACAGGTGGGTTCAGCCCTGGAGCTCCCCGCGGGTCGCTCCTCGCTCTTTTACGCCAGGCCGCTGGTACTGTGTCTGAGCGCTCCAGAGCCCGGTGTCCGAGCCCTCCCCCCTCCCCCGTGTTTCAGCGTCTGTAGCGCTGCCTTTCCCGTTAAAGACGGCATTTTCTATTATATTTTGCTGGGAGACGTACTGATGCATCAGGACTCCAGAACAGTGCCTGTAAGGGTGTTTGATTTAATGGAAACGTGAGTTTAAGTGGCGGCCTGTGGAGCGCCTTGGGCCGCCCGTGCCCGTGCGAGTCCCTGGCTGGACGTGCGCCTTACGGAGCGCTCCTGCGGCACTGGGGGCAACACCTGCAGTGTTACTGCTGAAAGAGCCTGAACGTAGGATTTCAGGTGAAGAGTCTGCCGACCGGACCTCGTGCTCTAATGTTGGCATCTCATTGCAAAAACTGATTCTCAGTCTGTATGATTTTTTTATAAAACATTCCGTCTTCTGCTTGTGTCAGTGCTTCGATGTTCAGTACATTTGATGAGAGGTAACTTTAGTTAGGTGTGGGCTCTGTTGCAGTGTTAGAAGCCTGCACACTTTGACAGTTTCAGTGAGTTTCGTGTTTCCTTCTTGGGCCAGTACAGCAAGGTTGGTATGTGCTCCTTTTAACTAATGGAAGCTGAAGTAAACTCTTAAAAATCTCCTCTTAAAGATACAAAACTTCATTAATAATTAATTGGTTAAACTTTGACTTTAGTTGGTTCATAGTTTTACTTGAATATCATTAAGTGATGGAGAGTGAAATTCCTGACTTCCAGGGGCTTCACCTATATGTACTGTTTTTTACTTTGAGAACCTGCTGCACTGATGAACATTAAAGGTAAAATTTTGATAGCTTTAACTTAACTGAATGTATCTTAACCTTTGGTTTGCCTTTTTTTTTAACTCCTTTCCCTGATTGGTCTCTGGTAGTCTGACTGATTTTTTTTTTTCCCCATGATTTTTTTTTCTTTCTGCTATATAGATTTCGTTCCAGGAGGCCCATATTTGGCTTTTTCAAAAGGTTTATTTGGGAAGGTGCTCTTATTTTTTTGTAATTACTATGAGCATTTTTTGGACTAAAGAACGCAACAACAGATAATTGAAAGCTGTCCATTTACTTGTGAAGGAGACTGTGGTATTACAAGAATGTAGAGGGGAGCATTTTTTTTATTTTATTTATCTCTGCTAAAAGCAACATGTTGACATGAATAAGGACTGGTTTCTTACTGAGCTCTTTACTTGAAATATAACGAGTCTAAGAAAATAAACATCTCTTACTCATATATCAGTGTGAAATACTGAATTACTAATCTGTGTGAATATGTACTAGGGGATTTGGGCAGGCCATGAATTATGAAACTCATCCCTTTTATTTGCAAAAATTAGAATTTTTTTCCCCTTCATCTTGCAGAATGCATTGCTTACAATAAGTATTTTCTTGCCTTTCACTTAGCGTTATTCTAATGTTGGGATTGTACAAGAGCAGTGACTTTGAGAAGTCAGTATTCTAACTCCCATCTTTGTTTTATTCAGTGATACAGATTCAGATAGTTCATCAACTACATCCTCCTCTATATCTTCACTAGTATCTGATGAAGACGATCATCCAGATGAGAAGGGTAACAGATCTTACTGTGTTAAAACAAAAGATGAATTACCTATTGACGTAAGTACGATGTGATATCTTTTAAACCTTCTCCTACTAAGCCAAGCTAAAGTATCTATTTTTCAGTCACTCCTACTACGTCAAGATGGGGGATAGAATCAAAAGAGTAAAAAAGAAAACTCTTGGGCTGAGCTAGAGACAGTTTAATATGTAAAGAAAAAGGCACACACACAAACAAAGCAAAACAAGAAATTAATTCACCACTTCCCATGGACAGGGAGGTGCTCAGCCATGCCCAGGAAAGCTGGACTCCATCCCATGCAGCAGTTACTTGGGTGTACAAACGCCATCACTCCAAATGTCCTCTTCCTCCTTCTTCCCCCAGCTTTATATTCTGAGCATGATGCCATATAGTATGGAATATCCCTTTGGTCACTGCGAGTCAGCTGTCCTGGCTGTGTCCCCTCCCATCTCTTTTATACCCCCAGCCTCCTTGCTGATGGGGTGGTGTGAGAAGCAGAAAAGACCTTTATGCTGTGTGAGCACTGCTCAGCAATACCATTTCTGTATTACCAGCACTGTTTCCAGCACAAATCCAGAACACAGCCCCATACCAGCTACTGTGAAGAAAAATGACTTTACCCCAGCCAAAACCACCACAGTTAATAACTTAAAATGTCTTATTTTTTGGGTGCATATATTAAGGAACTATTTCAGAAACCTCTTGCTTTGAAGTATAGGATTGGCAGATATTGCGTATAGTATGGCAGAAGGTACAGTTTACCATGTTGAGATTTAGGATCAAAATTATAACTTCCTTTCTGCTTGTCTTCGGCCTTTGAATTGCTTTCACAAAAGTGACTCAGTTGAGTCTTAGCAGTGAAATTGACTTAATGTTGGAAAACTCACTGGCATGTAGAAGGTTGTGGTGTTTCTATGTGAATACATGTCCGGATCTTAATTATGTACTATAACATCTGGGAAAATGTTGGCCTTATTTATCTTTGAGTTGCTCTATATACCTTTGTCAAGCACTTTTGTTAGAGTGAAGATTATTAGGTGAAGTTTTGATAAAACAGATTAGGATTCTTCTCTTTGAGTGGGATTCTGTTTCTGGTAGTGGCCTTTGAAAGTGCAATTTAGTGCTAAGATTAGGACTCTACCTCTGAATTCACAAGATGTTGAATTTGAAAATAATACTTACTCTAGTTGCTTTGTATTCTATATAGTTCATATTGAATTCACAGCAGTATAGTATATACATACACATCTTAGTTTATGAGTAAGTCAGAGTTAGATGATGAGTTCAGTGTTAATCAGCCTTTGATAGTAGATTTTGATCCTTACATTTGAGGGAAAAGTTTAATTTGAATATTGTGTAGTACTCGTTTTTGTATCTGAAGTTAGGCTCTTTTTTTTTTTTCCTGAAAGTGTTCTCTGATTATCCTCTGGTAACAAATGCAACTTTTAGCTAAAATTAATTTTCTTTGTATAGGTTGTTTTGATCTTTACATCTTCTGTAATGGTCCAAATCATGATATAAATGGACAGATAACTGTTTTGCCAAATCCGATGATACACATCTCTTGTATTTCATGCTGTATTGTCTCTTGCTGTGTACATTTTTCTTCTACCATGCATTGAATATAATTGCAAGTTGTCTTATTTTTTGATTACTGATTAATCCTTGTGTTGTACATTGAGCTAAATTTATCTAACTTGAAAGTTCAAAAAATTGAATGAAATGCCTGTCAGTTGTTGGCTTTCTCGGGTTAAATAAAATTGGCTTCTACTTCAGTTGTGATGGAAATATGTAGAGAAGTGTCTCTGTAGGAAAGGTGTCCTCAAAAGTGGCATTCCCCCAAGAGAAGTTCATTTGGGATGATTCTGAGAGACGCAAATCAAACTAGATTTTTTTAAATAAAATCTTCGGAACGCTAGGAGATTTTTCACAATTGTCAAATTGCTGCAGTGATGAAGTGATGAATGTCTTGGTGTGATATTATATTCTGAACATTGACTTGATGTTTTCAGGAACTACCTCCTGTTGAAGACTTATCAATAATTCTGCCGGATAACGTTGAACTGAAGCTCTTCGGGACAGTGTCCAGCATTATTGAGCAGCTAGGTAGGAAATATATATTTGCTTTGGTTTTAATTAATATAATTTCTGTATAGCTCTGCGTTAATTGTGTACTTAACTGTTCCTGCAAAGTGTCAGTACTGCAGTGTTGGATCTCTGGTGTTGGTGGGTTGCTGAATGAGAACTCAGACTAGCAAATGACATTTGTGTTGAATTACCTTCTAGTTGGCTTACGTGATACTAGGACTACTATGCTTGTGTTTCTATGTGGCTTTCACGTTTACTTTTTTCATTAGAAAACCTTTTTTCCACAGTGTATTTAATGATTTTTATATTGAATCTGGTAACAATTATTGTATTTTTAAGAAAATCTTCCGGTGGTATGGGCTATATTTGCATTATCTCTGAACATATAGGAGTTGTGTAACTGAAAGCACAGATGCAGTACGATGCAGTCCCAAGTGCTTGCTTGTTAATATACAAGGACAGGAAAAGGACTTGTTTCTTTAGTGGTGCAGGTTCTTTTTATTTATTTTTATCTTTATTCATCCCGCTTCTGGTACCTTGTCCGAATGAAAGCTGCCCATGTCAGCAGTCATAGGATAGTATGACTAACATGATTTATAGGTGCTGGAGGGTAAACTTAAAGGGATTGAGATACACAATAAATGTAAGCTTAACTGCAGGCAATAGACATTCAGGGATCTTTTCTGATCTGCATGGAACCGCAGTATTTGGTATATGAAATCAAAGTTTTGCTGAAGCTGATATTATTAAAACAGCCATAGTATTCTTGTATTTAAGCTATTTCAGGTGTTCTGTTTCACTTGAACTGCTTTCAAAGCAATTTGCTTATGAAAATTAG